GCTGGTGGCAGAAGGTTTGAGATCTTGGACGCTCATCTTCATGCTCTTGAGCGTAGAATAGAACAGTATGTCTGCCGAACTACCGTTGTCAACTAGCGCCCTGGTGATCTTGAACTTTCTCGTTCGTAGGGAGATGACCAGCGGGTCCTCCGCGCTCTCTTCGGGGGCCAGCTCATCAGGTGAGAAGCTGATATCCACCTGCTCGCTCTTGTGAACGTTCAGGCATTGAATTAGGCGCTCCCCTTCGCTTCTGGGTCTCTTCCGGCCGCCCGCTATGGTAATCACCTCCACGTCGTTCTCATTAACACGCGGTTGTCGGCGTGGAGGAGACCTTCCTGGTGGTGGCGGTAGGCGCTCACACCTAGGCGAGCGCTCCCTTCTCTGCGACCTCGACCTCCGCCGCTTCGGCGTGCGAGATCTCCTCCTCGGACTTGGTGACCTATTTCTGTGGCGTCTTTGCTCTTCCTTCTGCGGTCTCATATCTAAGCGGCTCCTGAGATCCCCGGGTGCTAAGTATTTTAGGCTGGCTTTGAATTCCCGACACTCTGTGGTGTCATGTGTGGGTATTTGGTGCCAGTCGCACCATTTCCGGTCATCTTCCCTTCTGTGCGTCTGACGCGCACTGTTGTCATTTTGCCGATCTCGACCTCCGTCTTGACTTGTGGTGAACACTTCTTTCCTGTTGTCTCATTGCGTGAACCGCGGCTTGTAGCCTCGCCTTTCCGGAGAGCGCCCTCTTCTTTTTGGCGATCCTCTCTTCTTTTCCGTTCCTTCTCTCGGGTTGGGGCGTTTGGCAGTTTCCTCAATTGCCATGGCCTCTTCTAACAGGATCGCCTTCCTCACAAGGCGGTCCAGATCGGTCCATTCTTTCAGTGAGTGCTCTTTTTTAATGAGCGCCCTTCTTAGCTCGCGGCTATGCGTCGACATGCGTAGGTTTCCCGCCGCTACACTTGGCGAGATCCCCTGTACCTCGCAGGCTATCGTGTTCCACCTGTCGTAGAAGTCTGGAAGCGACTCCTCTCCCCCTTGCTTGCAATTGATGAGTGATGAGACCATTAGCTTCCTCCTCCTCTGCGATGCGAACTTCGAAGAGAACAGAGTCGCGAACTGCTCGAAATCCTCTATTATCCCCCCTGGGAGGGAGGTGTACCAGGTTCGGCAGTGACCGCTGAACGTGACTGGGAACGCTTTACACAGATCAGCGTCTGTAGCGTTGATGAGTTGCATCTTGAGCATGAACGCACTCAAATGATCGGCGGGATCTGAGCTCCCATTGTACGTTGGGAGCCCTAGTGACGAGAAGTTTGGGGGGACCTGAGTCCTGAACAAACTTCTGGCTAGTGGATTCTGCAGGATGTTGGGGCCCTTCATCTTCCCGTACGAGGGCTTAAGATGCTCCTCAAGGAATCCCAAGTTAAGATCTTCCTCTTCTTTCTCTGACTCCCCGCCTTCTGTTGAGACGGGGCTGCTAGGACCGCCTTCCTTCCTCTTCCCTTTGACCGCCTTCCTTCCTGAGCTCTCGGGGGCGTCACTTTCTTTCTCCTTGAGCATCGCCAAAATTTGGATCAAGCTCTCTTGCATGCTCGATATTTGCTGTCCTTAGCTCTTTACGCGGTCCTCCATTTCCATTTCTTCTTCCACGGTTGGCATCTCCATTCCTCGCATTCCACTCGCTGGTGCGTCTGGTGCGCGGAGGGGACTTCTTTCTACTACGCCTTTGACGGGAGTATTGGAGCTCCCATCCATCTTTTCTTCAGTGCAATGCTAGCCCCACGGTGGGCGCCAAATTGTTTGAGCCTAGGATGTTCTAGGCGGGTTTGCGAAGCTAGCAAGGCGTCTGATCCGGATGATGGGGGACTCCAAGCTCCTACAAAACAAGGGTCCTTGGGTGATTACCCAGGACACCCTCCGAAGCTTAAGTTAGAGAGAGAGAGAGTTCTGTAATAATGTTTAGAGAGAGAGAGAGAGTAGTTGGTTTACCATCAATGCAGGTATGAATGTATTTATAGTGGTTTGGGCTGGGCTTCGAGCATTAATTACCATGTCAGGCGTCCTATATCAAGCCCTGCTTTATTTAGACCGCCTACGGCGGCAATTAATGCTTAGTCCTGCAGTATTCGAGGTGAGTATCCTAGGAGGATCTCTCATTCTGCCCATAACGGCTCTTTGTGTCAGGCGTCCTAGTACCTGTCATGTCCTAGTATGGCCGCTTTCCTTTCTCTGTTTCCTATGCGCCAGCGCTACGCTCCCCCAGACGTACTCTTGGGCCCTTTGGACGGGCCTTACCCTTTTGGGCTCCTAAGCCCAATGCTGCTCAGCTATGGCCCAACAGAAACATTGGTGGTGAGTCATCTTTATCACTCGGGATTAGGCACTAGTAGTCATTATCATGAATAGTAAATATCTTGATAATGAAAAGAAAGGGGTTAATACATTATTTTGGCCCGAACTATAACCATATAATCAACTTTGGCTCGTGGTTTCATAAATTAACATCATGACCTCAATTATGCAGCATATAGACTCAATTGGCCCGACACATAGTTTGACCGTCAATTTGGACGGTCAACTCCGTTGACCGTCAGTCAACATGCCATGTCATTGCCTAGTCAGCATAAAAATCATTAAAAAATCAAATTCAAATTATTTTCCTAATTTCTATTATTTATCATTTTCCAATTAACCAAAAAATAAAATTCTAAAAATATAAAATAATTTTTTTGAGATATTTGAAAATGATAAATTTTATAAATTAACCAAAATTATCAAATTAAATTTTATAATTTAAAAATTATGATATAAATTATATTTTTTGGGAAGTTTTAAAAATAAAAAATAATTTGATAAATTTTGGTTAATTTATAAAATTTATCATTTTCAAATTATCCAAAAAATAAAAATACTTTATGTTTTTTATAATTTATTTTTGGTTAATTTGATAGTAAATAATTTTTTTTTATGATTTTTAGGCTGACTAGGCAATGACATGGTGTGTTGACTAACGGTCAACGGAGTTGACCGTCCAAACTGACGGTCAAACTATATGTCGGGCCAATTGAGTCAATATGCTGCATAGTTGAGGCCAGGATGTTAATTTCTGAAACCACGGACCAAAGTTGATTATATGGTCATAGTTCGGGCCAAAATAAGGTATTAACCCAAAAGAAAGTGAGCTTACTATTGTACCGATAGCATCACATAGATTTTTTTTAATAGGAGTGCATCTGTGCATGCAATGCGATGTACAAGTGACGAGGGATATGCTACCGAATATGTTAAGAAGTAATTTGTCTCCTTAATTTGTTAGCTAGAATCAAATACGAAAATGAAGAAGGAAACGAGACACACTGTTTACGTGGTTTCCCCGAGATCGGGACTAATCCACAGGAGAGCTAGAACTCTCCGAACTGATGATCTTATTCGGTTTTCCTTGAGTCGGTACATCGTCAGTTTACATGTATATATATTTGTCTAACCCTAGCTCACGTAGTCACATGCTAGGGCTCGGTTTCTACCGCCACAAACTCCTACGTACATGTTACTATAACAATGGGTCAATCACAAACCAACCAAACAAAATCATACGAGCCCAATCCAGCCCAACACCGCTAACATAATTTACTATACTTATCAGTTATCACACCTACGTTTGTATGGCACCGACGAGCCAATGCTAAGAGAAGAAAACAAACCAAAATGTAATTACTCTGACATTAACATACGATTGAAACCCCCTTTTTTTCTATTAAAGGACTGACAGAGAGATAGAGGTGTTCTTCGATATCGTAGTGGGATGTTGTCTTTATCTTTCGTTTCATCTGGCGACATACGTTAATTTGTTTCCTTAAGTTATCTAGGGTTGACTGTCCTTTTGTTAGCCCTTGTAATTTATTTTTCTTGTCTATTGCATATATATGGGTTTGACCTGTTGGTTCAGCTGTAACTAGGGATTTGTCGTTGAGTTTGGCTGGACTTTCCTTTTTGTATAGATCACAGTTTTGTTTACACGAATTTTCTTATAGGAAAGAGGGTTTTTACTTTTTACCTCCAATAAATTTACTTCTCCATCACAATATTGATTCAAATCAAATAATAACCCATCCTAATAAAAAAAAAAAAAACATTGAACGCATTTGTGAATTATAATACATATTTGTTTCTCGATGAATTCAAATGCAGAATTAACCAATAACTCGCAATCCAATTGAAGCACATATTAGTCTCTAGCACTGATGTTTAACTCGCGCGTTTTTTGGATTGAAGAGTAAATCCTTTATCTTTTTCCCCCCTTCATCGCATTCATTAATTATGGTAGAATGTCAACTCTCCTGGGCCTTGGCTGGCCACCCGTAATAGAATTAGAGTTGGAATTGGAGCCACAAGAATGAAACTCTCCGTTTGATTTGGTCATCTTTGCTAGCTCTTTCATTTATTGCCTACCTCGTAGTTTCTCTTCCTCTTTGTATTAATTCCTTTGACAAAACTGACTGGAGCTTCGACTTGTTGTGACCATTTTTTTTCAAATAATGGAAGTTCTTCATTAATGCACGAGTAGACAAAACTCTCGCTCAGCACTGTACGTATAATTATCTTCGAAAAACCAAAAAACTAGCCGTAGCAGTTGGCTGGCTGACCAACGCAAGATTATTGGCGAGCGTGTTGGCTTGGCGGGTTTACTGGAATTTTCATTTGGGAAATGTTCTTGCTATATATTCTATAGCTATATATATATTACATAATAATAATAATTGTTTCTCCATTTAAATATAGGGATTGATTAATTTAATTATGCTGCACATGTATGACACAATTTTTTTTTAAACTACTGTATGATATATATAAACAAGAAGCACCAATGATGCTTAGATTGCCAACTGGATCCACCATACTGTTTCCATCTTTCCCTTAAGGGACTGAGATGTATTAATATTTATCAATAAATTTTAGTCAATGAGATGATGAATTTATTTTTAATTAATATATAGTACGAAGTAAAATTTTATCTGAATTTAACTATATTCTTATAGAGGATTAGTTTACTCGCAACCCTACTAACAACTATTAGAGGAAGTCTTGTTGACTTCCTGCTTTTTTTTTTCTTACTAGGTTGGTCTAGGGTTTTGTCGATGATTTTGTCCTTGTATATCATTTGTAATTGCCACTCTCCAGTTGTCGGTCGATGATAATACATAATATACTTCTCCCACTTAAAACCAGAGAACGGTACAAAATTGGGAAAACCCTAATCGATAAGGATTGCGAGTTCTTGGAAACCCAAAGACGACAAGAGGCTCCAAGTTAAAAACTCCCTTTCATCTGCAGAAAAGATGGCTACACAACTTTTGGAGAAGTTCTCTCAAATTTCACCTCGTTTCCTAAAACGAATCCAATGAAACAACACATGTAAGGGACAACAATAACGTTATCGAATGGTGTTGACCAAATTTTTGAATGGTCTGAGATATGCAAGTAAAGCTAATAAGGGTTAATAAGGGTTAGTGTTGTGGTATATGATACACGATTGAACTTCTTCCAACAACTCGAGCTATTGGGATCAATTGGTTCTTGACATGGTATCAGAGCCTTCTGTGACCGAGAGGTCTTGTGTTCGATTCCCGGTGACCCCCATTTGTTAAGCACATAGTATTATTGTCCTTAGACCTGTGCAAACTTCAAGCCTCGTGAGTGGCTTTCGTTTGAGGGGGCGTGTTAGTGTTGTGATATATGATACACTTGGAACTATACCACAAAATAATAGAAATGGATCGAGATTAATGCTTTTAAGGCTTTCCTGGCAACTCTTTCTCTGGATATAAATATTCAAAGTCTACGTAACACAACACAAGGTCGTTCCTTCACTCTTCTCCCTTCGCTATTCGGACTCAATGTATTCTCCACCTCTTCTTTCGGTCGCGAGCAATTTCGTTCCTTCGCTCTCCCCCGTGCTCATATAATCTAAAACTTCGATCGAACATATACGAATAATAATAATAATGAATTTGTAGTCCAACGGTAACTCGACAATAGAGAACTCAGTGATTGAGTGTTCAAATTTTAATGACTGGCAAAAGCCTTATAACCCAATTTCATTTTTAGATAGTAATAATCGTAACGTTGATATAGTAACGATAAACCGTATATTTCAATTCTCTCCATTAGAAACTATATCTTTCGGTTAATAAACGTAACTTCTCTATGGTCACCATTTCCGGCTTGTCATAATATACACAACCGTCGCAAAAATTGGATGTGAAGAATCAATAAAACAGTGAAAAAATGGGGACAAATTAGTGATAATTAGAAGTTAATTTACTAATTTATGGATTTAATCAAGGAAAGGAAGAAATCAGGTGCGGCGGGATGCAGGGTGAGTTCCGCCACGCTCTCGAATGCGCCCTCAGAACCTCCCTCGCCTTCTCTTTACTCTTCCAGCTCACATCCACCTGCAGCAACAGACACAGCTTCGCCACCACCCCGACCTCGGCCATCTCCGCCACTACTCCCTTCGTCGCCGAGTACCTGCTCACCGCCGCCACGATCCTCACCGCGCCGTCCGTCGCCGCGTGCGACACACGCAGCATCTTCTTCGACACCACCGCCAGCCCCGCCGCGTGGCCCACCACCTCGGCCCTCCCCTCCGCGCACCCGCACATCACCTCCACGCCCCTCATCGCCAGCTCCGTCGCCCTCCGCGCCGCCGACGAGGAGTGATCCGATTCCAGCAGGAGCTCGATCAGCGCCGCCACCGCCCCGCCCTCCACCGCCTTGATCCGGTTCCTCCCCCAGGGGGAAACCTCGATTAAAAACTTCAACGCCGCCTTCGTCGCGCTCTCCGAGATCCGGTCTCTTAAAACGCCGACCACCGCGGCGAAAATTTCGGATCTCGCGTTGACCAACTGGATCGGGTCGGCCGCGCGGAAAGCGGATCTGAGGAGGATCGTCGCGTAGGCGCGCGATTGGTGGTGGTCCCGTTTCGAATTCGAATTCGAATAATAATTCTCCATGACTCGGACCAGCGAGTCGACGAACTCGGTGCCGAGTTTCTTGAGGTCGGAATCGGCGAGGCCGATGTGGTGGAGAATCGCGAGCGACTCGTCCACCGCTCTGCTGCTGCTCATATGATGATCTGCCTCTACACCGAGCTCTAGGAAACTGTTGGCAATCACGACGGAAGCGAGGAAGCCGGCTGTGGATCCGGCTCGGAGTTGGATCCGGGTCGGCTCGCTTTCGGCTGCCACGGAGCGGAGCCGGGAGAGGGAGTCGATGAGCTGCGGCGTGGGGGAGGTGGATTCGGCAGCGGCGGCGGCGAGGAGTTGAGAAATGTGGGATTTGGTGTAGTGGATTGGGGCAATGTTATGGTAATTGGTGGTGGTGGACCAGGAGTGGATGAGGCGGCGGAGGGTGAGGTTGGGAGTGAGGTCCTTGACGGCGAGGGTCTGGTTGGTGACGGGGCAGGTGTCGCGGTTGCGGGAGAAGAGCCAGTGGTGGATGTGGCGGCGGTCGTAGGTGATGCCGGTGGCGACGGTGACGGGGTCGGTCATGAGCTGGAGGGAGATCGGGCAGAGGAAATGGCAGGGGACGGCGTCGTCGGACGGCGGGGATTCCATGTTACTTTTGCAGTTTGCTGAAGGGAATGCGATGGACGAATGAATGAATATTGGAAGGAGCTATTTCTATTAGCTGTTTGGTTGCTGGGAAAATGAAATGGTAGCTGGGGTCCGCTGGAGTTTCTGATATTCGGGTTGGAGTTTTCTTTATATGTATATACGTTGGAGAAGGAGAAGGGAGGTGAAGGTGGCTGGCCGGGATCATAATATATTGGAAGTCAACACACGGGAAATATGGACAGAAAAGATAAGCTATAGTCTGCGAATGAATTGAATAATATAATAATCAAATTTGTTAGTGTTGTGGTATATGATCCACGATTGAACCTGTGTCGATAACTTGAGTTATTGGGACCAACTGGTTCTTGACAAAATTAATTATGGACTATGATAATAGAGAATGAGGTTATGCTTTTGTTATAATATTAATAAGATTGTAATGCTTATTTTCGTTCTTTTTCTCGACTTATTAGAATTATATATATATATATATATATATATATATATATATATATATATATAGAGGCTCAACTATATGTACTACTATAGAAGTACAAATTCATCCTATAATCTAATATTGCTCCAAAGATCGTGGACCTATAATAACATGGATTATAGAGTTAGATAGCCTTTATAAAACAATAGCTTCTGTTACTTTCAAAACTCAATAGCTTCCGTTACTTTTTACATTCATAATTATTATTATTATTATTATTATAGTAATTAACAGTTGTAATTACAATCACTATTGTATAGGTGTATGTGGAAAAGAAATCAAAGATGAAGACCGTTACCATGTCCCAAGGTGTCCCTTAATGACATATACATATAATTATCAATTAATAAAATGGAATAATACTCTTTCCAAAGTAGAGAAAAGGCAATAAATGAGAATTAATAAAGAAATGGGGAGGGGAGCGTTTCACTTGGGGGAATAAGATAAGAGCAGCCTAGCAATTAGCACTGCTCCGCCATGCAAGGGATTGGGCACTATACCATTAATTATAACCTAATAAATAATAATAATACTTTTCTTTTTTATTTCTGAAATAATAATACTTTTCTTCCCTTCAAGCTATGGAGATGGAGCCCTTTTGACTTTCCACATTTCTTTTTATCTTCTTCGCTCATATATAGTTGCCTTTAATTGGATCATTTGACTTTCCAATTTCTTTCTTTCCTTTCATTTCATGGGGTTTGATTATTAATTATAATATATTTGTCATTACTTATTATAATCGTCTTCTGGCTCGTTAAGGCAGGAAGGTCAGCGGTTCGAGGGTGATGTCGATATTACTATTAATATACGACGAAGAAGCCCCCCGACTGAGACTGGCACTTGGAATCGTACCAATACAATTGGCTTCTTCTTCTTCTTCTTCTCTTCTCTTTCTCTACTTTGAATTCGTATTTTTTTTCTCAGAAATTGGAAAAATTTGGTTGGTTTGAAACTGTGGGGGAATAGTACGTAGTATAGTGTTATAAAATAATTATAGGGTGAAGGAATGTGGGTGGTGCCGACAGCTTCCCAAACTCTCCCCTCATTCATGTGCCTCACACACCCAACTTTCCTGGGGGAGTTGTTGCAGCTTATTATTCGAATCTAACATTGCCCAAGCCCGTTGAGTACAATTCGAGCACCGACATGAATCGAAAGGAAAAATGTAACTTTCTCGTAAAGGGCGGAACACGCTTCACGGTCAATGCGACTGCATAGGAGGTTAAGTCGCTAAGGCTCGAGTGGATATGGAGTGAGTTGAGAGGGGGTGTTAGCTCCATGTTAGGTTGTAAATTGTAGTTACCGTAACAAGCCAATGGTTCTCTAGGGCAATTGTAGTTGAGATGAGCGTTTCAATTGTAGTTACCAAAGCCAATGTTTGTCAATTGTAGTTACCAAGCCAATGGTTCTCTAGGGCAATTAGCACCCTCTGTCTATGAATAGAAGCAAAGGTCGGTAGAGAACAAGGTTGGCAAAACCACACACTAGACACCTACGTCAGGTTTTAACTTTTTTCTCTATATATATAGTCATAATCGTAGTTTAGAACTCTAACTAAACATCTTTAGGAGTAGGGTTTAATTTAATGCAATTTTGTTTCCAAAAATGAATGATCACAAATCGATCACTCTCATTTAAACAGTATGCTACGAAGTTTGAATCGTGTCTCCGAGTCATTGTAAAGGAAAATCAAATCAGACTACATTAATTGTGTTGAAAACACTAAAAATTCCCACCATAAAACATAAAAATAAATAAATTAAACTTAACCTAAAAGCTCACACTCTCTATAAAACAGTCTCGTTCCCATGTAACGGGAAACCAGGTGCATAACTGGTCGTTGTCTCTCTCCCCTTCTCCCCTTCCCAATTTCTTCATTTCTCAACAACTGGAAACCATACGTATTAATTGAGTATAGTTTAGCTAACTCTGATGATATAAGTAGCCATTTGTCGTGTAAACGGAACATGCAAAGTGTATATGGTTGCCATTGACGGCTGCCAAATTACAAGACTTTGAACTCTTCTTTTAAGTTTTATCTGTCCCCTGAAGTTATAGATTGCGTCAGCTCATACAGTTGCAGTGGATGAAGTGAGATTAATCAACATATTTAATTAACTAAGCAAGTTTAATCAGCTGACTTTTTTCCATTAGTATGGTCCCCCCCTCCAATACATCATATTCATCCTCATTTTACGGTGTTTAAGTGCTAATTTAGCTTTACGGGAAAGGATAAGTGTATAAAACCCATAAATATAAAACCTACAAAAATCTCGTCTTTGATACTAATCATATCACGATGATGTGATCATATATGACAGGAATAATATAACGCGAATTTTGTAGGTTTCATAACTCATGATTTGTGTATCATAACAGTCTATATATGATATTAGATTGATTTGGATGGACCGGTTCTCCAACTAATTAATTAGCTTTCGGCCCGTTTTGTCTAAGCAGATCAAGCTCATCAGAGGCCCAACGTGTTTACACTTGGAGAGCCCAAATGGACAAGCTATATGGAGAGCCGGAGAAATCTGTGGAGAGACGGCACAGCTGGGCTGTCGTCGTCCTTCCTCGTATTCTCCGATCAATGCAATTTTATGCCGAACGCTCGGCCGGCTGATGCACTATATATACTCCGGCCGGCGGAGACACTTAACATATATGCACATCCAACTTTTGATGATAAGAGACCCTAAAAAAAAAAAAAAAAAAAAAAAAACAGAACCCCGGCCTCAAGCTAACTACGAAAATTAATATAGCCATGGCGATGTTCTCTGCTACAAAGCTGGCCGCCATGCTTCTCTTGACGATCTTGGTCCTCCTTCCATGTATGTGTAGTTCTCGTTAATTTTTTTATCCGCAATTTCCCCCCACCCCCCACATATGTTATTATATCAAGCTCTTCCGAGAACGTAGGTCGAGTTATTGAAATAAACTAATTCTTGACACGTAATGCAGGTCTTTCCTTCAAAGGCGAATCGAGAGGAATTGCTCCGCAATCGCCTCCTGGTACCGTTTTCAACAAAACGAAGATCAACGTCAGACATTACCGCCATTGGGGCGGACGCGATGGAGGACCAGCAGGCGGCGTCGTTGCGCCTCATGGTTCGGTAGAATTCGGGTGTCCAGAGAAGAACGACTACCTCCTTCCGTCGGCCTGCAGCCCCGACGACTTTACATTGCAATGATGTTGACAACATTGGGAAGTGCACCTTGTATTGCGATTGTCGAATGGGAGCATGCGGAAGCGTTAGCGGGCGGCCCTAATAAATGCACCATTTAATTAATATCCACTTGAACAACCAAGAACTTGTTTTCCGGCGAGGAAAAACTAGTGTTTGAACACAGTGAATGCACCTTGACTTCTCGAACAACGATTAATAACACGGTTCACTCCTCTCCGAATAATGTTCGAACGAGGGTGTTTGATGTTTTTTATGGTTTTTGGGAACAATCTAAGTTACTCTACTCCTATGGAGGTTCAGTGAGAGCTCCGAAAAACTAAAAGCTGATTTGCAGAGAAAAGATAAAGTTTGACATTGTGTGTCAAATGTTTGGTTGTGGAACACTTTTCCCGTCTTCGTTTCTCCTATTTATAGCCACTGGATGTAACTGCCTTGGTAACCGCCGTAGTAACTGCTAGCTGGCCTTTTGCTCCAACCGCCTTAGGGGCCGCTTGTCGCTGCCTTGGTGACTAGTTGGTAACCGTCGCCTTGGGGGTCGCGTCCCGTCTTGGGGCTGGTTGGTACTTGATGGTCTCGATGTTGGGCCGGGTTGGTGTTAAGCCTTGTCGCCCTGTCATGACTGGATGGGGTTGAGGTTATTTGCCTTAGCATCCATGATGAAGTCTCTTTGTCTCCATATGGCCTCATAAGGGTTGAGCTCGACATCCTGGTCGATCCATCCATAGTTGGGTGGCCACCTCAGCTAGTCACCATGCCTTAGTCGAATTTCTTGTCTTGTTGACTTGATACTCTGATGTCTGGCTATCAAGTCCGTCTTGTTGGCTTGATATCCAGACTTAGTTTCTATATGACTCTCTTAGTTGGTACCTGGCTTGGCCCCCTATTACCTGGCCACCAAGTCAGTCTTGCCGGTTTGATACCCCCTTGGGGTCATGGTACCCTGTCGCCTTGCTTGGCTACCAAGCCTGTCTTGCCAGCTTGGTACCCAGCCGTTTGGCACCCTGTTGTGTCGCCTTGTTTTCTATACTTAGCCAAATTTCTTACTTGGGTATGAGGCCTGCCTTGTCGGCTTGATACTCTCTTGTTTGGCCCCCTTATTTGGTATCAGGCTTGGTACCCGATCGTTTGGCACCCCGTTGTGTCGCCTTGTTTCCAAGACTTAGTTTTTGTAGGCCAAATTTCATACTAAGGGGTGGAGGCATCGTCCGGCTATGGGGGCCTCGGAGACGGGTCGACCATCGTATAGAGGAGCTTGGCCACTTAAGCCCAAAAACCCAACCCAACAAACCCAGCTAGCTCTTTAATTATTAATGTTGAGTTGGCCTTGTAAATCCATTAAATCCCCTTGTAATTAATCGATGTAGTACAAGTTGATTTTTTTATGGGTAAACAGAACTGTCTTTTTTTTATATGCATAACATTAATATCGTTTTAACTTTTACTGTTTTATGTTGCTCCAAACACTTTTCTTTTGTTATAATGGTAATTTCATATTAATTGTTGGGAAAAGAGAAGTTTACAAGAGCGCCACTGCGCCAGACAGCTGCGAAGAAAAAGGAAAACAGAGCAGAAGTTTACAAGACTGCTGTTTTAGTTAGTTTGGTTTTTAGGATTTTGGATGGGTTGAGTGTGGGAGGGGAGGGTTTTGGGCTTTGGGCTTTGGCAGGGGTCCTGCTGGTGTAGGCTCGGGTTGACGGGTTGTTGGATCTGTGCTCCGATTTTCCAACTAAAAAATCGTAGTTCAATGGTTTCATAGAAGCTCCAAATACCAAGGCCTGCATGCAGGAGCTGAAAGCCGGCATTATGGGCCCGTGGGTAAGCCCACAAATGTTGATATAGTGGTGTCATCCACGATATTGGGCTTCGCTAGCCAGCTGTCAGTTGTAAGACAGCCCAGCCCACACGGAGTCGTGGGCTTGGAAATGAGCCGTAGCCTGCAACTTCCTTCCTTCAACACGATCGAGAAAGGTGACCATGCAGAGCAGAGGCCACTAATGTTTCCTGCGACTTAACAAGTTACATGGAATTATTAACTGAACGAGGAAATTTTGGCTATAGCCAGAATGCTCTCTTCAGTAAAAGTAAAATTTTGGTGATACATAAAATGCAACGACTTAAATTGTATTTTAACAGCTAAAAAAAAAACCTCACAACCTCCATGTTGAACAACAATGGTGGAATTATCCGTCGATGTAGAGATCATTTTGATTCCATCAATAACGACAACTCGAAATAACACACATTTATCTAAGCACAACTGTAAATTTACAACAGAGAGGTTCACTCTAATTCTTGATAATTGCGGCACCGCTTGAAAAAGGGGACTTGTTCTCTGCCAGCTCTTTGTTTGTCTATTTCCCTCCATTTGGTTATTATGATTCCTTTATCTCGTGGAGGGGAAAAGAGCAAGAAAAGGGGAAGAAAGAAAGAAGAAGGAAAAAAAAAAACAAAAAAACAAAGCCCAAGTTCATTGCCAAAGAAGGCAAAGGTCCTAGGCGGCGAAACAGGACGAAAATTCAGAGAGACAGAAGAGTTGACATTCTTTCCCGTCGAGCTCGCTACGCAACTTTGCCGGACCATTGGTTTTGTCGACCGATCTCAATTTGTCTGTATTCAAGGGAAGATTAAAAAAAAAAAAAAGGCTTGGAGATTGCGAAAGATTTTCTGTTCAAAGAGCTACGTGTGTATAAGGCAAAAAGAGCAGCAAACTGGCTCCCGAACTTAATTACCTTCTTTCACACACGACAGAGAGGGAAACCCTATATGTGTGGCCGCCATTTTCTGGTTAGTGGTTCAAAGAGATGTTAATAACTACTGTATTCTGTAATGCACGATGAACAAGGGAACGATATATATATACAAGACTAGTGCCGGAGTCAGGAATCTGAATGAGCGGCTAAAAAAAATTTACGTTCAGAGGTTTGAACCGGCGAGGGGACTAAAGCGCCTTACCACCTGCTCCATTATCCAAATTTGCTATGCAGTTTACATGTAAATTTACACAATTTTGAGAGTTGGGGGCTATAGCCCCTCTTGCCAACAACGTGGCTCCGCCACTGTATGAGAGCACTAGAAAGGGTAAAAAAAAAAATTTGGGTACGTAACTCCATTGTACATGTTATTCACAGTAGTGTGAGATAATTCAAACGACTTTTTTTTATCGGTACACGTGTACAACCGTCTGTTTTAAAATGTTACGTTAGGACGTGAATTTTTAGTAAACTAACTCGGGGAATTTTGATTTGGACGTGATAAGATGGCCGATTCTCTTTGGATTGTCTTCAACTGATGTCAGTTCTAGAATTAGAGTTTAGGAGGGTTCGTAGGAATGCCAACAGGATTGACTATCTACGAAGTGAAGAGTATAACCATTTTTGGTCTTAGAGGTACAAGTTTAGTTAAAAAGTAGTGGAGGTTAATAGATATTTACGACACTCAATTACATAGTTAGAATGTTCTACATGTAGCCTAGTGCTTAGCGTTTACTTCTAAATTCTAACGCAAACAGTTGCATGCATGGAGACACTAGCTATTACCATATATAGGTTTTTTTTTATAGTACAAAAAGAAATAGAAACCGGTCGCCGCCACGGAGATCAAAAGTTAAACGTTGACATCATCTCATGCAAAATGGTTTCATAGGTGTTATTACTTATTAGAGAGAACCATTTTTCTTACGCTACAAACCTTTGTTTGACTAGGTCATTTTTTATGACGAAGAACAATAGGGTAAAAAACCTCAAAACTTACAAATTTAAATTCTTATCACTTCTGATACGAATCATATATACCACTATGATATGATCATTATCAGCGAATTGTGAAATCCGTATCAGGGGTGGTCAGTGGCGAAGCCAGGGATTTGGTCAAGGGGGTGTCTTTTTCATATCATAAAAAATCAACCATATAATAAAAAAGTAAACTCTAAATGAAATAAAATTCAAGAACACAATACTCAAAATTCATTACAGTTACAAAATAATAGTTTGACGTACACTGTTTACAACAAACCGCGACGAGATTTCATATTTTGAAAGCATTCTATAACACATTCCTTGTTCAAACTAGCAAACAAAATTTTGTTTAATATATGTCACCAATGCATTGTTCATCATTTCAATCATCATTCATCCGGTTTTCAAAGATCATCTTGATATATTTAATGGATGTAACGATCTTTCCACGCTTGATGTTGCAACCGGGAGAATAAGAAAGAAAATGCTAGGGTTCTAGAAATTGTGAGAAGGAGGTTTCAATACAGTCTTCTAGTTAATATATATATATAAAGTGAAAGTGAAGTTACTGTTGCCTAATATTTTGCTATGATGCTTCTTAATATTTTGCTTATACTCATTTTGCTACTATATGTAGTTTGTTTTTACCTTTTCTCTTTTAATGTTGATGTTTATTCATGTATCACTTTTCAATCTTCACAAAATTCATAGCTGTAAGTTTTTCTTTTGAAGTTGTAAATTTGTGTTCCATTGTTAATATATATAAAGTTTTTTTTAACGATATTAATATATATAAAGTTGAAGTGAGGTTACGGTTGTCTAAACTATTACATTTTGATAACTTAAATTTAATTAAGGGGTCGTTTGGAAGTTGTGATTGTTTGAGTTGTGTTTGTTGAATACATGTATTGTGCACAATACAATGTTTGGAAGTGCCAAAGTGTAAATGCATGCATTGTTTTTGGTAGGTCCCACCAACAATCACAAAAAATGATGCATTATACAATCTCAACTAAAAGTTGTGATTTTTGTGATTGTTGCTTTTATATTTGTGTCAACCTTTTCTTTCCATTTATATCCCTAATAGTTTTTGTCTTATACTAAAAGTTGATGGTAAATATGATATTTCCCCATATAAGTAACTTTATGTAAATCAATGAATAAAGTAGAATCTCAACAACCAAACAATGTATTGTTAAAATGCATCCATTGTATCAATACATGCATTTATATTATGGTGATTCATTACAATGCAACGCTTTAACATTCGCAACTTCCAAACGACCCCTAAATTACAACTTAGTCACTAGAATTATATTTTACATTTTGATACTCCAAATTTAATTTTACTGTAAAATCATTGACCAATTATGTTTTGGTATCTAAATTTTATGTGATTTTCGTACCTAAATTTTTTTTACTTTTACATATTGGTCCAATGTTTAGATTTCACTTGAATCCATTGATCCAATCCACCAATCATTTTGAACCAATCCATGAATCCAATCCACTATTAGATAAAAGTATAAATTTAGTTTATACCATACAAGATGTTGTACCACTCAATTGTAGGAGAAGATTCATCTATTTTATATTTGCTCATTTCGTGAAACATTAAAAAATGATAAAAGAGAGACGATTCTAAAATATTGCAAGAAAGAAACTCATTTAGTACATTTACGGGGTACTAAACAAACATCTACTAACTAAATGTAACAAAAATATGCGACAACGACATAAGCAAGTGTCAATAAATTGCTACGGTGAAAAGGGTTGACTGTTGTATTGAAGAACAACTAAAAGAATTGGTCAAAAACCTTCCATCACCTACTTCCTCTTCGTTTCATTTTTCACTCGCATTCCATAATCCTTTCTTTATTTCTTTCTTTGCCTTTTACGTCAAACCATAATTAGTATACTATTTTTTTATGTATTTTAATCACAAGTATGAACAGATCCATACACGCTGACCAAAAGTCTAGAGAATTAATAATTGAACCATGAACTACTAACTTTTTCAACTCAATGTTGAGTCCAATTAAAAACACACACACATACATATATATATATATATATATATATATATATATATATATATATATATATATATAGTTATTATTTACTAGAAAGTCGTCATTTTCCACTATGAGATTTGAAGGCATGAAATTTTATGCGCGTTCCAGTTAATTTCCTTTTGCTTCTCTCAAGAGTTTTTCTTTTTCACCGGGCGAGAATTTTCAACAATTATACATGGAATTTTCAACAATTATACATATCAAATTAATAGTTTTCTATTTTCTATAAAAAATTAAATAATTATCATCTTAAATACATAACCATAAAAGAAAATAAGCCTCAAATATGCAAATTACAGTTTTGTTCCTAAACTTAATAGATCTTTAGATTTATAACCTAAAATTTTTTTTTGGCATATAAGTTCTCAAAATATTTATGGAACATTACATTTTAGTACCTTAAAGTTTTGTGTATCACATCTTAGTACCTGAACTTTTGAAGTTCTACAAATAGATCTAATTTTTGTATGTGTAATTAAAACACCCTCGAATAAATAGGTATCTATACTCATATACATTTAGATTATGAAAGTAAATATCCATACCCCACCAAACCCATCTACAAACTTTCAAACCTATATATACGTCACTCATACCCTACCCATAATCAATGATGTCTACTTGGGTTTTGGTAAATATCATTTATTAGTCACAATTTTCAAAAAATTTAAATTATATGTTGACCGCCATATATCTACTGTCAAGTCAATATTACTAACAAAACTACTAACACAAATTTAATTTAAGGCTAATAATACTAACAAAACACCATAACGGGCCACATAATACATGCCAATAGGCAATCTCCGCCCTGCGACAAGTCGCGACATCGCCACCTAGTATAAATAAAAGTCAAAGCAAACTATATTGTAAAACTCACGTAGCTGAGATGGTAAGGAAGTTTCTTTCTATTAACATGGTCATTGGTTAAAAGTTCAAACTCATCTACCAGCTATATCCATAATAATGGAATTTTTTTCCAACCTTAAGGTGGCTGCAAGCACCCCCACCACTGGGGTGGTAAGACGTAGATTTTGTAGCCCCTGAATTTTGTACTATAATCCAAAACTTTTTTTATAAATTTTTTCAGGATTTTTTTAAAGATTTTGAAGCTTATAACAAGGAACTCGATCTTACCATACCGCACCGGTTGCGGTATATGAATATGCTAGTTTTGGACATTAATACTGGATTTTAATACGTGTTTAATGATAAAAAGTCGAAACATAAAAATAGATATTATGCATTCTACAGAGTTTGAGCCTTAATGAGTAAGTTTTCAAAACGTGTCAAATATTGTTAATGACCACTTGACCCCACTAGTTAATTAGGATTAGTGGCAGAGGTCTAGATTGGATCCTTAATACTTCATTAACATCATAATTATAACGACAGTTTGGCCGAGTGGTCTAAGGCGCCAGATTTAGGCTCTGGTCCGAAAGGGCGTGGGTTCAAATCCCACAGCTGTCATTAATTTTTTTTCTTTCTATGCTTCAGAAGAGATCGCAGATGATCTTCTCCTACATTGCAGCCATGATTTTTTATTCTGCTATACCATGCTGCATCAACCAATCATCAATTAAATGTACACGTATTTAATAGCATCGTTTTGAAAATAGATTCATCTTAATAACTCGAGTTGTTTCGAATACTTCTAAAATTTGATTATATACTTTTGGTTCATTCATATTGAAGCCTATATATACACATGTAATTAATTTTCGATCATAAGAATCTTTCAACCAGCTGTAGGAGATGGATCGACTGATCACTTTCACTAATATTATTGGACGTTACTGATTGATCGCTTTGGCTCTGGTCGGTCATTTGCGATAGTGTTGTTAGGTACTTTTTGTACACATATATGTGTTATACACTTAACTTTGCACATTATATCCTTTCCGGCAAAGGAAAACTTTGGCCCTCAAGGGTATATTCTGGCACAATGCGCCGAATGTTTTCCCTTTCCTCCCCTCTTTCGTCAGTCTTTTTTCACAAACCAAGTAGTAGTGTGTGTTTAGCTAGTGTATACAGTGTAGTTATATCGATATATTATTATTTGTAAGTAGTTTTCGACACTTTATATAGCCTAGTTCAGGGGCGGAGCTAGGATCCAGAGATCGGGGGCGAACTTTTTTATAGTATCCGTCAAAATGTTCTAAGAAGATAAATAATAATAATAATAATAATAAATAATAATTCATTCATTATAGAAACCCAAACAGTATTTTAAAAACCCAAGCAATATTTTAGATAATTAAAAGATATAAACATGTGTTATAAACTCAAATTTTATGTAATAGTCTATTCAAAATAAATAGTAAATGGCCAGTATACTTCATCTTTAATTATCTGGTTTGAACTTTAAAATTAGAAAATATATGAAGATGAAGTACAAAAGTTAAGTAGTTAGTTCAAATTTTAAGCAAAAATTAAACCAAAAAGAGAAAATATGCAAAAATATGGTTTTGTTAGGGATTGAACCTGAGTACCTGGTAGATACTAAGAGCTACTTTCCGCTGGACTAGAGCTAGTCAAAGGTTATTGTTTTTGCGCGGAACTGTAATTGTATAATAGATAATTTCTTCTAAATTTCCAAAATTCTCGATATTTTTACACGCCATCCTCAGAATTCTCGAGGTAGCTCCGCCCCTGGCCTAGTTATCACTTTTATGTAGTTATATCAATATATTAAGTGGATATTATGAGCGTGCATGAATATAAGGAAATATGCTTGAACAATTGGCAATTAAAGATGCGTAAAAATGTAGGTTTATGTGTGAATAGTGGGACATCTTACCGGGAGACATATATTTTTTCATATACATAAGGCAAAAGGTAGCATACGTCTGATGTATTACAATATATGTATGTCACACCTACTTATTTTCATTATATCTATAATGTACTTTGACTAATCATAATTGTTGATTATTATTTTTTTCATTTAATTGATTTATGGTTTGAACTTGAGTAGACAATCAAGACCTATGATTCAGCCATTAAATATTATTCTATTGTATTGTGTCACGAACACTAATTAATCCATGATTCAGATAGCGAAACTTGTTAGAGTAAGCTAAATTGAACCATATATATGACAAAAGGTAGATCTAAGCATCTAGCTAGCTAATAAGATTATTCTAGGTAGTTCCCACCCCATGAAAAAGGCATCTCGTGAATTTTACGCCTCAGAATTTGTTTTCTTTCCTTTCGAAAGTGAGCGACGGCAAAGGAACTTTCGTTGTGTCTTCTATGAAACATGAGGAACTAATTGGTTCCTTGTTTGTCAAGAAACTCAGACCAGCAGCTTAGTTACAATATTATTCCCATATCCATGCAAGGTGATAGTCTCAAGAATATTTGGTCCACACTCGGAGATGGTTACACATATCTATATAGCTCGATTTTCTACATCAAATTCAGGATGCCATTGGTACGTAACGTTTGTTTTTGGTATAGATGAAATTTTTATAGTTTACGAGCGTACAAAAATTCTCATTTAAGACCTATGCATGCACTCGTAATTTTCAAGTCAAATGCTAAGATCTATCAAGAACTTAAAACCTCACATGTTGAATTAAACGCTAAGACTTACCGAGAGTTAAAAAAAATTTGACAAAATCGGTCGAGCCATTGCATTAATGTCATGATCAAACCCTGATTTTGGTGTTTTCTATTTTCCTTATAAGTATTCGTTTAATATTGATATTTATGAAGGAGAATAATATTGTATATTTCCCATGACCAATCAAAACAACCAGCGCCAAGTTGGGGAATTCCAGAAATTCGAGTATATATACAAAAAAGATAATGCATGAATGAGTCACCATAAAAAACAAAAAAAACCATAAAGCTAGCAAATGGATATATGGACACCAAAAAAACAAAATAATAAATAAATAAATAAGCTATCATCTTTCGTTTTCCATAAATTTTTCATACTGCACTTGCCAAATATAAATTCCACCTGCCTCCCATCCCAATGAAAAAGATGGCAAAGAAAAGAAAAGACCCTATCGCTATTCTATGCGTGTCCAAACGTACATCGCAGGGTACCAAACTACAAAATCCTCTCTCAATCCCAAGGGCTCTGCGGATCAGATGCCAAACCTCTATCCTATGTAGATCCTCTCATCGGGAGGATGGATGAGGAACGTGAAATCTTACCAAATATAAAATACATAAGGCGTTAATTTAATATATAAATTACAACATTAATATGTATAACTTAACAAAAATATATAGATGCCACCCCAAATAATATTATTTAAGACAATTATAAGCACTAAACTACGGTTTAAATTACAAAATTTAGCAACGACATGCTCAAAATTATTAAATAAATTGCCAACAAAAATAATGCATCGTGTTCTTCAATATTATGATAAGTATAAAATGAATGTCTCTAAATAATGGAAAAATTATTAAATTTATTTGGTATATATTCAAAATTATCTTTGAATATATAAATGTATAAGTTGAATTAAATTTACCTAGTTTGAAATTAAAGTATGTAAGAAAACAAAGCATGAAAGATAAGTGACTAAATTTTAATATTTTTTTACAAAAAATTCAACTTAAAAGACAAATAATAGTAAAATGATAAAAAAAACTAGTGTTATTGGGTATCAAACCCACAACCTCCACTACAATCAAATACAACTTTTTCGCTGAACTAGAAGCACCAATTTTTACATTAAAATTGCACAATAATATTATATAAAAACGGATTTGAATTAATATGTAATTTCAATATTCTGATCGTATTTTTACAAGATCTGCTTCAGGAGTATGAGATTTTAAGTGGCCAAAGGGTGAACCTAGCGAAGTCAGCTGTCTGCTTTAGCCGGAATTTAGAGGAGCAGCAATGTGCGGACATGGCGCAGTGTCTAGGAGTTGGGGCTGTTGGGGTTTAGGACAAATATCTTGGCCTGCCTACCCTGATTTCTAGATCTAAGGCCGATACTTTTCGCTATTTGGAGGAAAAATTGCTCCAGAAATTACAAAGGTGGAAACAACGACATCTCTCCTTGGCGGCAAAGGAAACTCTTCTGAAATCCGTGGTTGCGGCTACCGATTCATGTGATGTCATGCTTCAAGCTCCCGCTTTCACTGTGTCAAACGTTGGACAAACATTTGGCTCGGTTTTGGTGGGGAGCTCAGGAAGGGAAAAACCGGATTCATTGGATTTCATGGAGGAATTTATGCCGAAGCAAACATGATGGTGGCCTTGGGTTCCAACGTTTTGAGCAATTTAATCAGGCTTTGCTGGTCAAGATGGGATGGCGGATTTTGGAGGACTCAGACTCGCTACTAGACCGTCGTGGGGCTGCCAAGGTGTCCTTTATGGGTGTGACTTGCTGCGCCATGGATTGCGGTGGCAAGTCGGGTCTAGAGAAGTGATTCCTGTGATGGGGTGTATTGGATACCTGGCATGCAGTGGGATCAGGTGCAGGTTAAGCCTACGGCGCATCTGATTGGGGCCGAGACTGTATCGGGTCTAAGGGCATCGAAGAATGGTGGGTAGTGCCTGGAGTGCTTGCAAAACTGTTTTCCGTCTAAGGAGATCGCTGCAATTTTGGCAATTCCGCTTCCTACGGTACCCATGGAGGACTTGATGATTTGGCAGGAGGATGCCTCGGGTGGGTCCACTGTCAAGTCAGGATATCACTTGGCGATTCGGTGTAGTCGGGCTAGAGATAGCTGGAAATCAGAGGTCAGTTGGATGGATTGGAAACTATGGATGGAGATTTGGGGGTACCCTATTGAGCCTAAGCTTCGGTTCTTCCTCTGGCAGGTTTTCAGTCGTATCTTGCCAACTACTGAGAAATTGATATCCAAAAAGATGCAGGTCCTGCCGAGGTGCCCCGTATGCTGGGCGGAAAAGGAAACGGTAGAACATTTGCTGTTATTCTGTCCGGTAGCGGTAGCCTTATGAGATGCTGCGGGTTTGTGACAGTCCTTGTATTTACATTCGACATCTCACATTGACATCTTTCTTCGGCGATTATTCTCAGCGAATGGGACGCCGGATATGGTAGTACGAGTCGTGGCTCTTCTCTCATCTCTGGCGGATTTGGAAGGCACGGGACTGGGTAGTGTTTGAGGGTAAGCAAGTGCTCATCTCTGTGCTGACAGCCCAGTTTCATGCACAAGTCGCAGAGTGGATGGCGACTCTAGGGCCGCCACCTATCCCTTTACGAGATGTTGGTGGATCGTCGACGCATATGCAGGGTATTTCGCAGTTGCCACCGCCCACCAGGTCAAGTGTGCTACTTTGATGGGGCAGTTAGGGCAGGTTAGCGGTCAGACATGGGAATGGTACTTTGTGACTCAACAGGGGCGTTCGTCAGTGCGAGAGGCGGTTGGCTTCAAGGTGTGTCAAGGCCAGCTATGGTGGAATTGGTAGCGTTGCGAGAGTCCGTTCGGTGGTGTGTCAGCGCGGGATTTACGACAATGCTTCTGGCAGGTGATGCAAAGGGGATCATTGATAAAGTCAGAGTAGGAGTGGTAAATGATGCGCTAGGTGCAGCTATTTTGCAGGAAATCAAGTGGATGCTCCGAGATAATCCGGGATTCTCAGTGCACTTTGTAGGCAGACAGAATAATAGGGCAGCCCATTTAGTGGCTAGAAAAGCCCTCTCTTTGTCTCTACGTACTTTGAGCAGTTTCAATTTTTGCGCTTGGCTTCATTTGGAGTTTTAAACGTTGTATCTTTGTTGTTCTTGGTAATGCAAGCTATCTTTTGTATAAAAAAAATACATGATCTTCAAAATTCTCGTGGGGCAGGGCCCTCAACTCCCAACGTAGCTCCGTCACATGGTGGCCGACGGCAATGGCTTTGGTGGTGGCGGCGGCTCCGATAGATGATTTCTCCTACTAGCTGCGGACGCCTTGTTTTCCAAACTGTAGTTCGTCAATTTTCTTGTTTTCTCTTCAACGACTAGCAATCAGTACTCTCTCCTTTATTTTTGAAAATATTCGTTTCTAATCTTAATTATTTGTTGGGTCATTTCGTAAAATTAGGGGTCCTAGACCTGCCTAAGCATGTGCTCAAGCCTCAAATAACCAGAGTGTTTAAAAGAAAGCAGCTAATCACAGGCCTCCATATGCACACAGAAGCGAGTTTAGTCATAAATTGAAAATTGATTTTTTTTAAAATAATATTTTTGGCTGGATAAAATAATTAAGAATTTTTTATAAAAAATAATGAAGTGGGTTGTCTTGATCAAGCCAGAAGATTTATTTATCACTCAGCCTTATTGTGGTTAGAATTTTTGGTTGATTGAATAACATGCAATATATTATCAAATATTTATAAATTATTCGTAAAAAAATCTATTGATAAAAATTCATGAATAAATACACATAAATTTTTTTAAAATAATTTTGAAAAATTGCGCAGGACGTAAATTTTATCAGTGAAAAACGGCAAAAATATTTTTCATAGACAAAAAAAAAAAAAAAAAAACCCTGCTCCCTTTCAGTCAAATGGCTTGTAGCATTATATATCTTTTTTGGAACGTCACAAGACAAGGAAATAAATATCAAAGTTGTGATTGAGTTCTATCCAAAACTGTGGTGCGGTGGTGGTGCAGAATCTTATGAATGAGATCACAATGCAGCTGGCTGCCACCATATCTGAGTGCAATTTAAAGGCAAGTTGGTGGGTGCGATCGTCCATCAATCCAATCCAATGGCTCCTCCATCCATTCTTTACGTCCGCCTATACATTTGGATAATCCTCTACATAATAATAATGATGGTTGGGTTCCGGGAAAAGCGGCAAGCCACGACTTGGGTTCGATTCATCGAGCCAGCCAGCTAGGGTTCAGTCGTGGTCATGGTCAGGGTCTTAAAGAAGAAGCAACGTAAAAAAGGAATGGCGAAAAACGCATTGGGCCATGGCCCTTTTGCTATGTATCTATTGGACCACCTCTTACGTAACCCACTCACTTAGGGATGACAATCAAACCCATGATCGCGGGTATCCGATCTACCCCGACCCAGTCAATGCGAGGAATCCCGTATTGACCGGGTATAGGGCGGATATGGGTAAAACCCGCAAACAGTTTGATGGGTATGGGGCGGGTATGGTTTTAGCCTCCCCCGCCCCATACCGATACTCATACCCGCCCCACCAAGAACATTTCTTCACATATAAAAAGTATATTGATTAAATTGTAATCTATCATTAATACCGAGAGTAACTCATGAAAATAAATAGTAGAAATACAATTGAGTGACCACCCAAATCAAAACATAATTAGTTTCCTCCAAATCTTCCTTCATTCTTTGACTTTTTCCCTCGTGTTAACAACTTTATATTGGTAAGTTATTACTTAATAGATGTACAAAGTCAGAGAATAATGATTTGGCTTATATTGTTAATCTATCTTATGGATTATTGGATGTTTTAGAATAAGATGCTTAGAATCGTATTAAGAATGATTGTCTCTTTGTCGACTTTATGAAATAGTAGGTACGTTAAGTATTACAATTGAAATTTTTGTATGTAAAATTTTAGCTATTATAATGTTGATGTATGGGGCGGGTATTACCCATGGGTACCCGAAACCCACGGGTATGGGGATGGGTTTGCAAATCCTCCCCCGCATGGATATGGGGTGGGTATGGATTTGAATATTTGAAAGCGGGGATGGAGATGGTTTAGGCAAACCCGCCCCATTGCCATCCTATACTCACTAAGCTAATAATTGGGTTTGATCGCCTTTGAATTGCATATTTAGGGTTTCTTTGGGTACGTAATTAGGCAATCAGAAGAAGATTGGTGTCACCCTTATAATTTGAGTTACATTAATATTAGTAGTTATTAATGCATAACGCCGAAAGGAACAATAACTAGACGAATCATAATAATAAAAAATATATAAAAAAACTATCTCCAGTCGAGTTGATAACATGTAAATTCCCATCTACTCGCGAGTAATTAATGATTTCACCTCCCAATCAGGGTTTTTTGTTTGTGGAATTCAAACAACCCCTAATCTCTAAGAGTACCCTTGAGAATACGGTCATTTTGGTTGGTAATCAATGACACAAATATTGTTTTTTTTTAATTTACCACTAATATGGCCAATTAAAAAGTATTGACATAGATATTATATTTTTTAGTAAGGTTTGGGGTGGGACCACCTGAGACTCAGGTGGGGCTGATGTTTTACCCAGTTCTGGGCGCTGGCGCCCCAGTCTCAAGCGGCCCCGCCTCAGTTATTCTTTTGACCCAGTCCTAGGCGCTGGCGCCCGAGTCTCCAGCGGCAGCGCCCCACCCTTTTTTTTTTTAAATACCGAACCTCGAGCCCCTCCCACCTTATCTCCTCTTCTTCTTCCTTCCTCTTCTTCACTCCTCCACACCACACTCCCCCCCCCCCCCCAACTCCCGAACCAGAGAGAACCCTACCAGCCTCCCGCCGCAAGCACTGCCGCCCAGGACTGAAGCGCCGTCGCCGCAGAGTCAGGCGCCGCCGCTGCCGAGTGGAGCGCCGCCGAAGACTGAACCGCCGCCGCCGGAGACTGAACCGCCGCCGCTGCTGACTGAAGCGCCACCGCCCGAGATGTCCTCCGACGAAGAACCAGTCGCCGCCGGCAAAGGGAGAGGCCGGCGAGGTCGTGGTGGAGTCGGCGGCCGTTTGCGCGGTGAGACTCTCGTCGGCGGCTTGATTTTTTTTTTTAATGTTTTGTGTTTTTTTTAATGTTTTGTTGCTTTGTTTTTACAGTTCCTAGGCTTATGGATCCTTATTCGATGAGATTACCGCCGACGACAATTGATCCAAGTCCGGTCGATCCGACACTTCTTTGGGGACATGGCCAACATCGTATCGACTCTGTTTGGACAAACGAGGTAAGTATTTGATAATTATTCATGTAAAGTTAATTAGCTAATTAGATTATTTTAGTTGGTGAACTGAACTGTTAGGTGAAATTAGTATAATTTGAAATTAGTATAATTTTATGTTAGATAAGACATATTAGAATTTATTAGGTGAAATTAGAATTATTACGAATGAAAATGAATTAATATAAGTTTTGTGCACTATAGGCTGGTGATCGATCTTACCATGTTCGAGGTACGACCATTTTAGTACCTTACCATGAGCTTTATCGGCCATATCTCGAAGAGGCAGGCTTGTTAAGTGTCGTGCCCCTAGTCCCTATGAACCCCGATGCGAGTTTGATTACTGCGCTCGTAGAGCGGTGGAGACCCGAGACGTCGACCTTCCATCTACCGTGTGGTGAGATCACGATCACGTTAGAGGACGTTATTTCCTTGAAATTTACCACAAGTGCAAAATCCTGCCCGGTTTTGATCGTCAAAGTGAACTGTGAGTGTGTTTGACCCCGTCATGTCGAAATTGTTGGGAGGAGTCTGAACTACATAGATGCCTTGACTTCGATCAAGAGCTGTCACAGAATGTCCAATTGCCTTTTGTGACCTGTACTTCATCAGCTCTTCGCACTTGGTGGAGTACTGTGAACCGCCACTTCTAATTTCTGCTCTTGTCTCCAACCTATACTTATCGAATTTCTCCACCAATCGCCAATAGGTATGCTGCACAAGAGAAGCTATAGGAAGTGCACGAATACCTTTGAAAATACCATTGACGCTTTCTGCCATGTTGGATGTCAGGATAGACCAACGACCCCCACCATTGTAGTTATCATGTGCTAAACTCCAACGAATCTGATGTTGATCCACCCAGTTATCATATGAAATATTTCTATCAGCGGCCACCTTCTTAAATTGCTCAACTTGACGATCAAACTTCTCCAACCGTTTTTTTCTCCGGCTAACAAAATAAACCACAACACGGGTTAGATAAATTCATGACAAAATTACATGAAAACAAATAACAAAATTAAATGAAGAAACTTACCGACTCGAAATAGTTGATTATACATAATTTTGCTTTTAGTCTTCCTTTGCAAATTGCTTGCATAGTGTCGCATGCACCACCTCCACTCCCAACCTCTTCCGAGGTTATTCATGGCTTCATAGAGTCCTGCATGTCTATCTGAGATGATGCATACATCATTTCGATCAGTCAAACCCTAAACCTTCCTCATGAACCATGGCCAACTCTCAGTATTATCGCTCTCCACCATGGCAAATGCAATTGGAAAAATCTTCTTCCGGCCATCAAATGAGCTCGCCATGAGTAGCACTCCTTTATACTTCCCAGTAAGAAATGTTCCATCCACAACCATGACGCCTGGACAATTCTTGAATCCATCTATACAAGGTCCATAAGCCCAGAATACTCGCTGAAATATTGAATGACCTGGTTGAGTCGAAGGAACTCTTACCCAATCAATCACCGATGTTGGCATTTTTCTCTTGACCACCCGCAAGAATGTTTGCAAAAAATTGTAGGATTCTTCCCAATTTTCATGCAACTTCTCCAATGCTCTTTGTTTCTCATACCAAGCCTTCTTGTAAGTAACTTGCATATTAAACTTATCTTTCAACTCGGCCTGGACAGTTAGAACACTCAGATTTGGTTGGGCACGTACCAAATGTTTGACGGCCTCAGATATCATGTCGACATCAAGATGGCGATGATCCGTCGGTTGAGTCGTACTGCTACAAGAATGCACCAACTCAGCCTTTCTCACAGTCCATTCGCCCCCAACATCTCGACATCCAAACCGCACCATCCAAGGACAATTGTCATCCTTGTGCCTCAAGCATCTGACCTTCCAGATTGAAGGTGACGACTCCACCACGCCATATTGAAAGTTGCGTTGTAGTGCGTGGTGTTTAATCGCCATCTGTGCAGCTTGTTTCGAGTGAAATATCTGCCCCTTGTAGAATTCTCCTTCAAAACTATCAACAATAGGCATTGGAATTACGCCATATGAATCAGCAAGTGATAATTCTTCGTCCTCTTCATTACCCTGCAAGTAAAAATATGGAGGATAATTAAGCTGCTCTCCTTCCTCCTCCTCCTCCTCCTCCTCCTCATCTTCCTCCTCTCCGTCATCACCGTCATCATAGTCATGATCGGATGGCACGCTCCATGTATCATCTTCTTCCTCTCCACCCTGATTCTCACTGAGCTCAACATGTATCTCAGCACCCAAACAATAAGGATTTTGTGCCATAAAATTCCAAAGCACATTCAAGCTATCATCATCCACAATAGGTATCGCATAATGAAATAAAACACCATTCTGCCATTCTCGAAGACGGTAAGTGAATCTTGTGATCACATCACTATCTTTTACTGCTTCGTCTCTGCGCCGTATTCTCGGAATTAGATTCTCACAAAGTTTGTGATATGTGACTCTGGATGGAACCGTCAACTAAAAACTACTACCACCAACGAATTTGACGCCCAAATTATCCTCTACTTTCTCCGATTTCCACCGAATAACTAATTCAAATCTTCTAAAATCACTAAAAAAAACTCACTAATTAAAACTAAACACAATCATAATAGCATTTGAATAATATAATTACAAAAATAAATGTGTCTCTTACCTATTAGCCATTTTTGCAGTAGCAACCAGAGCTCTCTCCTCTATTTTGGACGATTTTTTGTGTGGTGTGAATCTGAAATGAAATTGTCTGGGTTTTATAAGGTGGGTGGCCAGCAATAAGCCAGCGGTGCCACCTCAGTCTCGGGCGCCACCGCCTGGGATGATTTCCCACCTACTCGCCTAGGTCTCAGGCGGTGCCGCCTGAGTTTTGAGCGCCGCCGCTGTCAACTAAATAAAACGGTCCAAAAAACAAGCTAAAGCGGCAGCGCCTGAGTCACAGGTGGCCTCGCCGATTCTTATCTGCAAAACATAATATCTGTGTCAATACTTTTTAATTGGCCATATTAGTGGTAAATTAAAAAAACCCAATATTTGTGTCATTAACCCGTAAAGAGAAGCCTTTTTTCTGGCATATTATTATATGTACACGATCCGCCTGGAAGTCGAACATTAGGTATAGTACAAGTGGGTTTGCATGTTGGTAGCTAGATAACAGAAGATCGACGTGGCCACTTGCAAACTTCACCACGTGGCCCATCCTCATTCGCAATATATAATACTACTTGATCGATTTTCCATTTTTTTTAGAAAAGGAAAAGGTCGTCAGGAATTAGCTAGCCACCAACAATCATGGGCATGGGCTTCATCCGTATAAATATTCTGCCCACGAAATGTCCTTTCTTTCTTTCTCTCTTTCTGTGCCACCACCAGACCATATGGATGGGGACGATCCAATCAACTGCAACACAGTACGACCCAAAGATCTCTTCTAGCTTAGATAATAGATGTGTCATAAGCCTGCAAATGAGTCAAGCCGAGTCGAGTTTTTCTCCAGTTTGAGCTCGTCTCGTATATTAATGAGCCGACTCGAGCTCCAGCTAGTTAAGTGTTCAATATTAACTAATCTCGTGTTATACTTTGTGATATCAAATTATTTAGTTAGGAGTCGTTTGGAAGTTGCGATTGTTAAATAGATGTATTGTTGAGAATGCATGTATAATATTATACATGTATTGTCGAATTTGATGTATTATAGAATACAACGTTTGGTATGTGTGATTGTGTATGTCGCATCAGCTAAAAGCTGAGACAAAACAATCTCAACTCAACTATCTCAACAATAACATACATGTAATGTCCACACTGCATCGTTTTTTTGAATTTTCTGCGCAAACAATACATGCATTGTTTGTTTGATTTGACACAAACTATCACTCAAAATGAGTGATAGTTAAATCTCAAGTTTTCGTTGAGATTGTTGAGATTGTTTGATGGAGATTGTTGTGTTTTCTTCTTCTTCCAAATATGTTCCTACCTTTTTATGTGTGTTGCTTTTTTATATTAAAAACAAAGGGTAAAAGTGACATTTCACCCAAAAAGTGATATAATTTATTTAAATACTACAATAACTATCACAGAAACCAAACGATGTAAACTAAAATACACTAATTTTCTTATATACATGTATATTATTATGCATGCATTGATGACAATACATCGATTTAACTATCACCAAAACCAAACGACCCCTAAAAATTGAGATATAACAATCACTCAAAATGAGTGATAGTTTCTGTCACATCACAGAAACAATCCATGTATTGTTTCTGCTAAAAAAACAAAAAAAAACGATGCATTGTAAACAATACATGCATAATGACAATCTCAACAAAACTATCGCAACTTCTAAACGACCCCTTAATAAAAATTTAACTAGTTATTTCACAGTATCGAAGCAATCTATGAAACATAATTGATTTTTAAAATAAAATAAAATAAAATAAGACATATTTGGTCACATGATCTCGTGTTAAACTTCATATAGGGTGAGATATATAATTTAACAATCTTATGAATTATCAAAATCAAACTCATATAGATCGATTCGCTCATAACTCAGTAATCGAGTATTCGAGTTGACTCTCTAGTCACAATGTTGAGAGTTGAGACATCTCATGAGCTCTAAACGAGCCAGCTCGCGACTCACGAGTTAAGCTCGGCAAGCTACCGAGGCGAGCTAGCTCGCGAGCTTCAGAAGGCTAATCTAAAGCTCGGCTCATTATAAGTAAACGAGCTGAGTTTTGAACGACCTTTTCTAGCTCGAGTCGAACGTCGAGCCGCTCGGCTCATTTGCAGCCCTAGATATGTGTATATTAAATGTTTGTATCGCTCGATTCCAATGTTGTTCGATCACTTGTACGTGTTTAGATTAAGAGAGTCATCGGCAACTTGTAATTTGATATGACAAATTCGAGTTCGTCAAGTGATATATATACGTATTCGATCGTGATGGAAGAATTTAGTCACTAAATGGCTAAGCTTTACTCTCTACCAAACATCTACTGCAATGGTGGTTTGGCTCTTCATCAGTTATCAGTCCATAATATATGATTCCCGCCATTGGCAGTAAGTAGTGAAACGTACAATCACGTCCCTAAGAACACAAAAGAATTGTATGCTTTTTTCACCCTTCCGATCGAATCCATTTTATCTGCATTTTCCTTTCTCAAAGAATAATTAATTAATCAAAGTTGAGAGGTCGCTTCACAGCTGACGTCTATTAAAAGCAAAAACACTCTTAAGAGATCGGGGGGGGATAATTCTTGGTTCCTTCTTTTTCAATTAATTTCCTTGGTGGAAATAATTGGATCGTCTGTTTCTTTTCCATTGCTAATAATAATGTGAATAATAATTGGAGCCTTCCTTTGATCGTTAATTCGGGGGAATGAAATTTGATTGGACGTATGAGCTTTAATTTTTTTTCCTTTTGGGTTTGGGTCTTTAATTTTTGATAGGCCACATATGCGGTCAATGTAATCCTATGCGTGCCCACTCAAAACAGACAAAAAAAAAAGAATTTTATTTTTGGGAAAGGCTCAAAAGGGTTACTTGTATATGAAGAAACGACGGTTTAAAATGGAAATGAACTTGGAATATTTTTTAATGATTAGAAAGAATTTTATAATACTTCGAAATGATGGATCATCCACAAATAGTTCTCTTCTTCCTTCTTTTTCGTTCGCATGTAATGCTTTGATTCTAATGGAATTAGTATGTACATATTACTTATGAGTTATAAGCTCCACTTTTTTTTTCTTCATGAAAAGCAGGAATTTTATTTCATCAAAAAGCTCCACTACTATGCTAAGAAGTGTCGATGTTTTCGTTTAAAAAATAAAAATGTATTATGGTACAAACTGAATGTGTATTTTTAATTTTGTGAGATAGACTTAGTTTGTAGATATACTTTCTGTACAAATTTCTTCATGATACATACTAAGTTTTTTTATTTTTAAACATTGTGATACAAATTCCGCTTGTACATATACAAATATACCTTTTCTTAAAAAAAATATTATGCTATAAACTGAACTTATGTCTTAAATGTTATGAAACAAGTTCAAGAGAGTTCGAAAGCATCCGTGCTAATAATCATTATAAAATTTATCATAACTCACTAGAAATTAATTAGCCAAACCCTAGCTAGTGATTTCTAAGGACTATGTATATGTTCACCCATGGTACATGGCCAACGGGCATACGAAAAATAAAAATGACAAACCATACCATACGGTCATCAAAAAATAAGAAATCATCTCGAAGAATATTTTTTTTTTTCGTGGACGTAAGTTCATTCTATAGACAAACCATATAAATCACGTCCATATGATTGATGTCTTTTTGTATTCGCATTATTTTTTACAGATTTTACAGGAAGATCGGTTGAACCTTGTTATGTTGTTGAAGTTTGTTCTCCGACCATTCACAAGGTTCATTAAGGTGCATAGTCTTAGACATAAATAAATTGTTGATGTAACTTGAATCGGACTATCAGTCACTGACTGGTAGTCGGGGGTCTCGCTGCCCGGTCAGCTAGTGGGGTCCAAGGGCAACGCCCCCGGCCCACGGTATATGGGCTCAATGTTATTTGGGTTCGGGTTCTGGGCCTGGTCTGTAACCGTTTCCTTTGCCATATTGGATTAGGTTTAGACCAACATGGAGAAGTACTATAAATACTTCTAATACTCCTCTGTAATCTGTAATCTCTTCGATATAGTGAAACTGACTCTCTCTCTCCCGTGGACTAGCTAACACACATTGTGTTAGTAACCACGTAAATCGTGTGTCTGTGTTTTTCGATTCTCGCTTTCGTATTCTTGTTTTATCAATTCCGGCGATTTTCCGATCCGTAGCAGCGCGTTTATAACATAAATCACCGGTTTTTATTCCATCGTTTAAGTGTTTCACTTTTGTCTAAGTTTTTCTCCACTTTCATTGGCTGCAGTGTGGACACTTGATCATCACATTCACAATTAGGGCATGCGAGGTTTCTAATTTGGGAAAGGAGAATAAATATAGGAATATAGACACAAGGAAGTGGTCTACTTTCGGTATAAAACCACAACTAAGGCGATCGAATTCTTAATCGGGAAGAATTTTTTTTTTTTTTTTTGTCGTTGTGAAAAAACGGAGGAAAAATATTAATAAACGGTCAATATAAAATGTTGCATATGCCTAGCTAATTAAGTAAGTAGCTTTACCAAAGCAAATAATATATAACACGTGCCAACATTTTACTTGGCCTTATTCATCATTAACTATTGGCAACTTTCTATGTTCATGATGTTTTTATGTGTGCAGATTGCAAAGTTGAGCTGACGATGTGTGTTCTGTCCCCCTGGCTTTTTTCGCTAGCTTTTATAATTATTGATTTATTATTCATTTGTGACAAACGCATTTGGTTCATTACTTTTCCTTAATTGTGTCTGTCTGGCTACTTTGGTGAAAAATTCTCCCAAAGAGAGGACAATATGGCAGCCTGCTTTTCTTGGTGAAAAATCCTTCCAATTAAAGACGATCATTAATCATGTAACAAAATTGAAGGAAAAAAGTACTCACAACACCATGATTAATCAGGATGAGAGGTAAGTTTCAAGGAACAGTTGGTTTTCAATTGATCACGTTGTTAAAAATATGTTTCGTACTTGGTCTTGTATAATTTATTTGTACATGGGTGCGATTATACCAGCACTAATGCACCAGATCCCATCAGAACTTCGAAGTTAAACGTGCTTGGGCGAGAGTAGTACTAAGATGGGTGACTTCTTGAGAAGTCCTCGTGTTACACCCCTACCATTATAAAATAAAATATTATTTGCACATCCTTCCGATGAAAGTTGATCATTGAGAGTTTTCATTGTGATTTCGATATATTACCTTCTCGGCTAAAGTTTCTTACACCGTGCTATAACAAAGACTAATAACATCCACAAATTATCCGAATTATTAGAGTAGAACATATTTGGGTGTAGATCGAGTGTAAATGTCAGAAACATATTTCTTTGGGGTTTATTTGTCATTTGCTATTTATTCAGATATTGAGTAAGGGCGAGAATTATGAGGGTTTATTCGGTTAGGTTAATTATTCGGGTAGCAAACGGGAATTAGTCGGATTATATATATATCATGTTAAGCTAGGTCAAGGGCAAGCAATAATACAGAATTGTTCCCAAACTCTCTCTCTCTCTCTCTCTCTCTCTCTCACCTTGGCTGAACCCTCTCCCTTCCCTCTCTACCGTCGGCGCCTTCCCTCCCGAGAACCCGACTCTGCCTTCTCTCTCACCCAATTCCAAATTCTTTCTCACCTAAATTCCCAATCCCTAATTCATTGCAACCCCAAATCACACACCTAGATCCGTAGTTCTGTCAGTGGTATCAGAGCCTAGCTGGTGTGTTGATTTATTGAAGACAAATCGGAACCTGAAGGATGACGAACACGATGGACAAACCGCAGCAGCAGAAACAGGGTAAGGAGATCGTCACCGTGAAGGACATAACAACGAACAAGTATGACGTGATAGTCACGACGCTGGAGAACCTAAAGTAGTCCATGGAGAGGGCGGCTGCGGCCTCACGGGACTCGACGGGCGCCATGGAAGCACTGGGAGGGCAGATCGCCATCTCGATTGAGGAGATGGGTAAGACAGTGACCGAGAACCTATGCCAAGCCCTCGCAAAAACCATGAGAGAGGTGATGATCGGCGTCCTGAAGAATCAAGCTCCAACGCAGGCGGATCCGAAGCTGACCGGAGGCGCGGCGATCTGTGCAGGCGACGGCGGAAGGAAGAGCAGGGAGGATTGGGCCGCATCGGTGTTCAGTGGGCCAGGCCTGCTGCCTGTTCCATCAGCCCAGGAGATCTCTGAGGCCCGTGGGAAGAAGAAGATGGTTGAGTTTGACGGGCTAGGCCCAGAGGATGATGAGTTAAGCTTCGCGGAGCAGGAAGGCTGGTGGGTGGACCCTGGGCCCGTTGGGGCGGGTCAAGGCTGGGTGGCAGACCTAAGGTCGGGCGACTCGATGGTCGGGCGGGCCAACGCCGATTGAATCGGGATTGGTCGAACCAAACTCGACGAACCGAGACCAGTCGAACCAAACCGGAAGGACCGGGCACGACCGACCAGGTCCCGGGATGAGCTATCCTCCATGGGGAACTCCGCGAGCTGACTCAGGGCGCAGGGGTTACCGAACGGAGGTGGGACAGGGCTCGGGAACCAAGCCTGGGCCTGAGGAGGATTATCAGCGAGAGATGGCTGGCTGGGCCTACTCTCATCGGCAGGAGGAGGAGCCGGACTACCAGCGCTACGAGTCAGGGCGCCAAACCCGTCCGACGGAACCGAGGATGTGGGATTGTGGTTATATGCAGCTGAAAGGTGGTTTAAAAACGACTCGGTCAAAGAAGAACGGAAGGCGCATCTGAGCATCATTCTATCTGGAGGGGGATGCCCTCCAATGGTGGGAATGGACCGAGAGAGCATATGCGACAGCAGGAGAAGACATCTCTTGGCCCAGGTTCCAAGAGGAGCTTCGATACCATTTCGGTAAGGCGGAAGGATGGGCGCCGGAGCAGCTGGCCAAAGTGAAGCAAACCGGGTCAGTGGCGGAGTACCAAGCCGAGTTTCTAAAGCTCGGGATCAGTGTAAGGAGATGACGGAGGAGACATTAGTGGGGCTTTGCATGGCGGGACTTCGTCCGGAATCGGCCACAATGGTCAAGGTCTTTGAACCTGATTCTCTTCGAGTGGCTTTTAGACTTGCAGGTCGCAAGGAGGAGGAGCTAGCAAGTTGGAGATCCTCCGTGGGGAGGATACAGAAGGCCAGTGGAGGAGCGGGTGGCGGCGCCACGGCAGGGTCGGTGTCACCCTCACCGTCGGCTGTGACTTCAAACCCGGCGGCCGCTGGGGCTGAGCCAGGGGGTCGGTTCCCATCTCAATTGCCACCCCGCGGGTTCGTGAGGTTGACCCAAGCTGAAATGGATCAGGGCGGGTATCTCGATATCCATACCCGCCCCATGACAGGTCGGGTAATTTATCATGGGGCAGGTCGACTCATTGGTTATATAATTTATGCGAAAAACATTAGAATTATTCGTATTTTTAATTAAAAGACCAAGAAAGAAACCATAATTTGATAAAATGTAGTTAAATTATTGAAGAAATTGAGTTTTTCACATATTTACAACTTTATTGTACCTAAAATATTATGTAATAAGAGGAAAATCCTAAGTAATTTGACTAAGATTACATGTAATTTAGCCAAGAACGGGTTGAGAATGGGGCTGGGTCAGAGCAGATCCGGTTGATGAGAGGTACCCATTCCCGCCCCAAAACAAGTCAAACAGATCGGATAAATCGGGTCAGGTCAAAATTGTCATCCCTAATAACTCATACCCAACCCGACCCATGAATTGCAAAAGCAGTTCAAATCAGTACCCAACTCAAAACCCACCAACATAAAATTTTATCCAATCTGATCGAATCGTATCGGATTGGATACTCGCGGTTCTTATTCAATTGCCATGGCTCGCCCAATGCATGCAGCCAACATGCACAGCCAGACGTCGCAAATCAACCCCATGACACATTATCATACATGTTAATTAGCGACAGGAGTAAGAAGGCTCACATGGAAGAAAGGAACAACAAGAAAGGAAAGTTCCCTTGATGATGAGGAAACATGCAATGAAATGGTTGCATTGTGCATTACAACTGGATTGATCAATCCAAGAAGGAAGCACATACGTACAGGCCATCGACGAAACTTCACATTAGTTTCTGCCCCCAGCATATTACAGCATGATTGATGAACCTGGGCGGCGGTGGCCGGCCCATACCTGCACAAACCAGCAGCGCAGGTGCTCAGAATAATTCAGACCAGAAACCCAATTGTAAGACATGCACAGGAATCTAATTTTCTTTCAATAATCCATGCAATTGAGTGTATATATACACATTACTCGCTGGAAGATTCGTGCATTTTGATACAACCCGTAATACACACCTTGTCAATGATCACCTCCTCAGTTACGGAGCTAGGAAGCGGTATGGAGGGTGAATTTGAACCGTGATAATTGAGAACAAAAGGTTGAAATGAAAAATCAAAAGAAAAATGGAATGACTTTATCTATCTATATCTTCTATCTATAATATATTTAAAGCAGATTCATCAGTTGGAATTGTCTCATTTCAAATTTTGTGACCCAAGAGTAATTCTAGGAAGGTTATTTTTGTCATTTCATTCAATTCATCTTTATATATTAAAATGTCATCATTGGGATTTGAAGTCTCGTCACTTAAATGAAGACATAGCATTATAACCAACTAGGCTACATTTTAGTCATTGTTAGGCCATCCCGGCACGAGGTAGGTCGTGTCGTGCCTAATATTTTCCAGATCTTATATTGAGTATAAGAACGAACATGACACAAAAATAATATTCATTTGATATAAAATTAATATAGGAAGAATTAATAATCTACAAAAGATATAAAGCAAAACTTGGGTTGACTTTTCAGGGATTCAAATTTCCAGCCACCAGAGAGCTTTCCGGAAGGGCAAGCATGTCATTACATGTGGTTCATTTAATCATTTTTTATGGGTCAATATATTTGTAGGCCCAGGCAAGATAAACCTCATTGTACATTTTGATTTTTCATATAAATAAAATAGTTTGAAGAATGAACAAACTCTATACTCACTCTGTAGGTTGAATGAATTTTGGTTTTATCATTTAGAATAACTGTTACATTTCTAATATCATGATGTTTGAAATCTTTTATATATTGTTTAGAAGTATACGCATTATTTGTCCCAAGTAGGTTGAAATATAAGATTTCATATGGTATTCAAAGTTGAGTACTGAGTGCATTGATTGAGTGTCTTTTAACTTGATGGTAGGAATGAGGAAATACTAATTCATGCAAATGTTTATAGCGAGAAGATTTTAAAAAATTCATTTCTGTTAAAATATCTACATATAGTATTAGACAATCGTACCTATTGCCACCAATTGCAGCACCCATGATTCAAATGGTCATATATATTTTCAATACTCATGACGGTTTTTCTTGAAATCGTGAATCTTTTTTTATAAAATTATATTTTCACAACAAGTAATTATATGTTAGTATTTGATAATTTATATCTTTTTAATTATTACATTTAGACTGATTTTTTACGATATAGGTAAAACAAAGTAAGTGCTACATTTTAGCTTTCCATATTACCAATTGGTCAATCTCTTGAAGTTTGTAATGGCTATTAAGCCCGATGGTTAGTTTGGTGAGATTGGCCATTTTCATCTAGAATTGTGGGATTCCTATGAGTTTGTGAGTTTCATTATATCTCCAACTTTTGCGACGACCATTTTTAGTGAGAAGGAGTCGAGATTATAGTGCTTGCAGGCCAATATGGAGGTTATTTGAAAGTTGTTTTTAGGGGTATACCCCAATATAGTTTACTCTCTTTCCCATAACGGAATGAAAACTTCTGAATTATGCCTAAAAATTGTTCCCGTAAACAAGAAATGCAGTAATGCTTGACAGATTAATCAATTTATTGCTTGGTGGAATCATTGAATTGGTAGTGCTCCCGTTAATGCAACGACATGATAAAAATTTGTCTTTGAAAGTACTAGTAAGATAAATAGATGAGCTATTATTAGTGTGAGTATTTCATTTAGTTCAAGTACAATATTTTTATATGCCTGGTGTTTTATTCCTTAAATGTTTGAACTTTATTTGAGGCTAGATTTGATGAATCTGTTTATGGTAATTACTTAGGAATTTTTTTATGAATTTATATATCTGTTGAAATTTAAATTATTATTGTTTGTGAGAGACCGCTTATGAACATTCCATAAAATCTTGGGCATTGGTAGATTGGTTAAAGTGCTTGCTAATTTGGGACGTGGAATTGGCTGAACAAATTTGGTTAGTTGTGATGATACCAAGTAAACATGGTAGTGGTTTTGTTGTTCTTAGTTGCCACACGAGTTCATACAAATGAACTTAAGGATAATTTCAGTATATGTGGCAATTGAATAATTAAATGAGATAGAATTTTACATATAAATATAAGTGGGGAGCTAGAAATGGATTTAGAGGCTGTATTAGGTGAAATTTGAGTTCGTGTATTTATGTGATGAGAGTTAGCATTGACAAAATTTTCTTTGTGCCAATGTTTCAGATAGTCATTAATTGAAGCTTTTCGAAGGCACTAACAATCATATTTTTCCATCAAAGGACAATAGTTTTCTTCTATAGTGAAGATTGACTATGTATGTATCATAGGAAGCAACTCCCATGTTGTCATTTTATGGACTTCTTTATATAGGCAACACTTTGTTTGTAACCATATATGTTACTATAAGTTGCATTTTCTTTGTTAATCATTTGGTATTTCTCATGTTTCAATGCGTTCAAAGCATATAAAGAGTAGTTTGAGTATTGTGTAGATAGTTTATGGCAAAATACAAAACAAATCACATATTATCCGTGTGAATGACACATACAAATTATATAATTATCAAACTCTCCGACCAACAAACCGAACATTGCGCTAGTTATTTGTAAAAGCAAAAACAATAAGATGAAGAGGGCAAATGTGTGCATAGGCGGAGAAGAAAAAAGGAAATTCGAAAGGTACAATACGTAGTGGGAGTGGGGCAGAACGATATGCCCTGTCTTCACGCTCTTTCCATAACGCCTGGTCTCCCTTTTTATGACATTTATTTATTTGGCAAAACAAGAAATTGCAACCAAATAATTAGTACGAGCCAAACTCACTATTGAGCCATTCTGGGAAAATCCTTTTGTCATTCAACAAAGTTGTTTTTGGGGTTACGTGGCCACAACCCATTTGCCCAATTTTGGTGCCAACCTCACTTTTGTTGCGAGGAAGCAAGCAATCATGGCCTCATTTCTGTTGTCATAATTTTTCGTACGATTCTCATACTTTTGTTGTATTATTTGTCATACACAAATTTTGTATTAAAAAATGGATTCAAATTAAAGAGCCATAATACAGACTGTATTCAACTTCTTATATA